TAAATCTAATCCGATCCGAAATATAATTTGATTTTTCATTTTTCAAACCGATTCGATCCGAATTACGCGATCAATCCATCCGATCCAATCCGAATTAAAATATGTTAATTTATCTTCTTTAATAAAAAGACTAGTACAATAATATAATTTTAAAATACAATTATAAAAATAATATTTTGTCCAATACAAATCTTGAAAATAATCATGATTAACATAAATTGTTCTACTTCAAGTCAAAATAAATTTTTCAAAGTACAACTAAAAGGAAACATCATTAGTCCATTACAATTATTACTAATCTACATGCACTAAATATCAATAGCATAAACATACAAGCAGTAACTTTCATCTATATTAAGCTTAAGGCAGTATCAACTTTCAGCAGAATTAGAGCAGCAATTGGGCTAAATGTTTAAAGCCCAACCGTAAAACCCAGTTGTAAATCCCAGTTGTAAAACACAGCAGTCCATAATAAATTTGCTTACTTTTAAATTTTGGTGTTCGGTTTAGTTTGGATCCGATTAGGGTCAATCCGATCCAATCCGAAAATTCGAATTTTTAAAAAATCTCAATCTGATCCGATTTAATTTAAAGGTCGGATCCGATCCAAATTGAAAATTCTGTTTGCGTTGAATTGAATTTCGATTTTAATTCGAATTATGGAAACCCCTAACTTTATCTTCTAATGTGCTTTGATACTTTTTTTTTCTTACTTGGGCTACAATCCTACATTGTCCAACTCATTTCTGATTGTATGTTGTCGTGTTGAGCTGGATGCCTTTTCTTTTAACTTAGAATCCTAGATAGGGTCACGTGTAAGTTCATGGCATGCATAATAATGGTTGCTTCATAATTTATAAATCCATATCTATGATCTTTGTAATAATATATTTGAAGATATTTGTTGATTTTTTATTTTTTTTTATATTTTTTTAAGCTACCATTATTTTTACTATAATATTTACCCTTAAGAAACAATTAAGTTCATTACAAATCAAATGTTACCTTTAAATGAATTAGAATTACCGTAAAAATTACCCTTAATCGTATTTTAATAGAATTAACAAAAATATGTCCTATACAAAACTTATTACCAAAAAAGCATGCATAAAAATTTAGAAATCTAATAAAGAAATACACGCAACTAAAATATGATGGGATCAAATAAAGGTAGTAATAATAATCTCACTCTTATCTTTCAATGCTAAGATTGAAGAAACACAAAAAACCCAAAATTACAACAATACTAAACTTTAGTTTAAAAGGACCAACACCCCCCCCCCCCCCTATTTTTTTTTTCTTTTTTTTTGAAGCCACCCCCCACCATTTACTTGAACTCCACCAAGTAAATATTCATCTTTAGTATATATTTATAGATAGATTATGACACGTGTTATTTTTTTTTATTCATCTTTAGTATATATTTATAGATAGATTATAGAAATAAACTAGGTTAAAATCGGTGCAATGCATGGTTTATATAGAATCTATTTTTATAATTTGTACATTTTACAAAAAATGGATTATAAATAAGAATTATGCATCTTGTACAAAAATATTTGTAATTTTAAAATTTTAGATTTTCATCAAAATTATGATTTAATACATGGTCAACGTTGCCAAATACATATTTGAATGTAGGAGTCTATTTATTAGTGTGTTATTTACAATTGTTTCGTTTTTTTAAGATAAATTGATAGATTGTAGTTGTAATGTGGAAGCTTCTAATATTCAAATTTCAAAATTGTTAAATATGGTAGCTTCAAAATAGAAATGACATCATCCTTGCATTCGGGAAATTTTTATTATAAGACTGACATATGGATAGTAATGACATCAGCAACATTTTGTTTTATTAATAGTTAATAGATTTTTCATTAAATTTTTATCCCTATCCTTATTATATATTCTCTTAATCACTTTTATGACGTTCTAGATATTAAGTTGTTAGTTGGCAAGGACATCTTATCGTTTTAAAAATCTCCCAAAAATTAGAAATTAAATGGGGTTATTTTTTTATTTTTTTTTTCAAACCAATCAAATATAAAGGGCTTCAAATAAAAAAATCAACATTTTTTTGTATTATTTTTTTACCAATCAACATAATGGGTTTGGAACAGTAGTTGCTTATACGTGTCATAAGTAGAATATAACAATTAGGAAAAAGTGAAAAGTACAATACAAATTCTTTAAAAAGGCGGGTGTACGTTAATTTTTTGTAAAACGAGTTAAAGTTATGTTAAAAGTAATTAAAGTTACCCTTTATACTACAAAAGTTAAATTTTTTTATTAATAAATTTTATCTTATAAAAACTTGTAATGTATTAGATTAATCATATTAGTTTTTATAGTATGTAATTACGAATTTATAAGAAATTACACATTAAAATGAAATTCAAATCAACGATAAATTAAAAGTTACCCTTTAAGTGGTAAAAATTGCCATTAAAATAGTTAAAGTTATGCTCAAACTGACCGTTATACAATAAAATTAATGTACACCCATTGTACACAAGACTTATTGAAAATACAGAGCACCTCTCCAATTCTTTTTTTTTTTTTAAAACATAAAAGAGAAGACATTATATTAATAGGCTAACTGCCAAAGATTATTTACAAGCTGGATCCCACTTTATACAGTTGAAAATTTGATGCAGAACAAAATCAGACCAACACTATGGTCTATTTTATACTTCAAATAAATGATACCCAATTTAACGTAAAATTTAATTTAATGCCTTATAAGAATTACAATAGGATTAGTTTCCACCACATATTAAAAACAATAAAGTAGATATGTGTTTTAGTTATTATTATTATTATTATTATTATTATTATTATTATTATTATTATTATTATTATTATTACTATTACTATTATTATTATTATTATTATTATTATTATTTTTTTGATGCAACGATCAGTATTTCATTTTACTTGTTAATTGTTAATATGACTACTTCATCTAGGGTTGTCCGTTTAGTTTTCAGTTCGGATTAAGGCCAAAACTAATCCGATCTGAAATATAATTCGATTTTCCATTTTTCAAACCGATTCGATCCGAATTACTCAATCAATCCAAACCGATCCAATCCAAATTAAAATGTGTTAATTATATTCTTTAATAAATAGACTAGTACAATAATATAATTTAAAAATATAAAAATAATATTTTGTCCAATACAAATCTTGAAAATAATCATGATTAACATAAATTGTTCTACTTCAAGTCAAAATAAATTGTTCAAAGTACAACTATGAGGAAACATCATTAGTCCATTACAATAATTACTAATCTACATGCACTATATATCAATAACATAAACATACAAGCAGTAACTTTCAGCTATATTAAGCTTAAGGCAGTATCAACTTTCAGCAGATTTAGAGCAGCAATTGGGCTAAATGTTTAAAGCCCAATTGTAAAACCCAGTTGTAAAACACATCAGTCCACAATAAATTTGCTTTATTTTTAAATTTCGGTATTCGGTTTAGTTTGGATCCGATTAGGGTAAATCCGATCCAATCCGAAAATCTGAATTTTTAAAAAATCTCAATCTGATTCGATCCGATTTAAAGGTCGGATCCAATCCAAATTGATAGTTAAATTTGAATTGGATAAAATTTCGATTTTAATTTGAATTATGGAAACCCCAAACTTTATCTTCTAATGTGCTTTGATACTTTTTTTCTTATTTGGGCTACAATCCTACATTGTCCAACTCATTTCTGATTGTATGTTGTCGTGTAGAGCTGGATGCCTTCTTTTAACCTAGAATCCTAGATAGGTTCACGTGTAAGTTCATGTCATGCATAATAATAATTGCTTCATAATTCATAAATCCATATCTATGACCTTCGTAATAATATATTTGAAGATATTTGTTATTTTTTTTTATATATATTTTTTTAAGTTACCATTGTTTTTACTATAATTTTTACCCTTAAGAAACAATTAAGTTTATTACAAATCAAATGTTACCTTTAATGAATTAGAATTACCGTAAAAATTATCCTCAACCGTATAATAATAGAATTAACAAAAATATATCTTATACAAAACTTATTATTAAAAAAAGCATGCATAAAAATTTAAAACTCTAATAAAGAAATACACACAACTACAATATGATGGGATCAAATAAAGGTAGTAATAATAATCTCACTCTTATCTTTCAATGCAAAGATTGAAGAATCACAAAAAACCCAAAATTCCAACAATACTAAACTTTAGTTTGAAAGGACCACCCTCCACCATTTACTTTTTTTTTTTATTATTATTTTGAAGCCACCCCCCACCATTTACATGAACTCCACCAATTTTCTTTTCTTGAAATGTAGAAACTAGAAAATATTCTCTAAAAGCTAAACCCCACATAATTTATTTGTTTGTTTCATAACACTCCCACATAAATTGACAAAGCAATACACTAACTATAGACGATGATATAAAGCTAGACCTGGCAATCCTTACCTAACCCGAATGACCTGATTAGCGACCCAAAAGTTTACCCGAAAATGACCCGTACTCAAACTAACCCAACTCGACCCGAAATGGAGTTGACCCAAAATTGACCAGATGCCCAAAATGACCCGATCCGAATGACCCGAAACCCGAATTTGACCTGACCCGAAACTTGAAATGACCCAATCCGATTGTAACCTGAATTGATTGACCTGAATTGAATCGAAACCCGAAGTGACCCGACCCGAATTGACCTGACCCGAAGTGACCTAACCCAAAGTGACCCGAAGTGATTGACTTGAACAGACATGAAACCCGAAGTGACTCGAACTATAATTACCTTATACCATACCCGAAAGGCCAAAATGACTCGAACCAAAAAAAATTGGTATAATTTAGGACTAATTAGTTAATTTTTTTTTTATTTCTCTGTAAAATGATGTAATGGATTACATACATTATACTATGTAATTATTCATATTACCAAAGTTTTTCGAAATTGAATATTTTTATTAGGGGAAAAGATTAAAATTACTTAAGTAAATGCTCCAAGGAGCATTGTACAAAATCCAAAAGTAAACCAATAACTTCTCCTGTCCATACAAATCAGAGAGAGCATTAGACAAGCTAGAGAAACTGATAGCAGTAGGCATCCTCTAATGTAATCAAGTAGAGCTGGCCTGAATATCCTCTTCATAAGTGCAACCGCAAGGAGCAGAGTCATTGTTTGCCAATCATGTGCTCTACTTTAGTCACCATCATTAAATTTTGTACGAAATTATGAATTTGTAACTGACTAAATTACATATTTATAATTATTCTTGGCAATGACCATAGGCTGGAAAGTACAACTAACAATGTATAATAAATGGGTTATATCTTTCGGTTGGATGTAAATCTGGTCATCATATTCAAGTTTCGACTCCGAGAAAGAAAAATTCTAAGAAACTACCAGTGTAAATTTGGCATGTAATCCTAGAGCAACATGAATAAATTTATAAAACTATGAGTAGCATATAAACGAATTGGACATGTAATCCCAGAGCAACCTGTTTCCTCCCTTTTAACAAAACTAAAAGAAAAATCAGTTTTTCTCCATTAATCCATTATATATCTATATGCAATCATTGATGTGCAATCATTCCCCATTTTTTAAAGTTCTAACCAATTAAACAAAAGAATAAAAAAAAAATACACAATTACCTAACATTTCCCACTTGAGTTGAGAAGCCAAAGAATGGAGTAGATGCTTGAGCGGTTGAGCAAATCCAGGCGAAGCCTCGCTCGACCGGATGCGTGTATTTATTAAGAGTTTCATCGATTTTAGTCTTTCTTTAATTAGGATTTTTAGGCTTGAGTATAAATACTTTTTGTTTTTTAGAGAGTGGATTACGTTTTTTCATTACGCTTTTTCTCATTAGCAAAAATCCATATTTAGTTTAGAGCTTCGATTAACACTCATGTTTTCTCTCCATACTTTTGATTTATGCAATTCAGCCTTTTTGTTTAATTTGGTAACGATTACTTTTCCTTTTTATTTTCAGTAATTTAATTGCTTTAATTAATTATGTCTTTTTTAATTGTTTTGCTTAGCTTAGATTTTTTTTTTTTGAGAGAAAACAGTTAGTGCATTAATTGATAGAAAGAGAGTCCAATAGTACAAACGGGGAGATCTCATTCGTGACTGAGAATTCCCACAAATAATCTAGACTACTCGGCACTAACCTTGCTAAGTGATGAGCCACAAAATTCCCATCACGTTTTACATGAGACCAAACTATGGATGAAAAATCCGAACTAACGGAAGAAATGTCTTCTAAAACACCATCAATAGCCGCAAAGGAAAAGGATCCCTTTTTCATCTTTGTGACAAGCACAAGGGAATCAGCCTCCAAGACAATATCTCTGAGCCCATGAGCCTTAGCTTTCCTGATCTCGAACAGCGCTGCCTTTGCTTCTGCAATCAGAGGCTCCCAATTAGCTCAAACCCGTCTAACAGCTGAGAATAGGACGCAGCCCCTGCTATCCCTAGCAACGGCACCTAGTCCCACCCATCCATCCTCAGTAATTTTTGCGTCTACATTCACCTTCACAAGACCGAAAGAAGGAGGATCCCATTTCGACCTACTGGCTGGGGCAGAAGATGGAGAAATCCCCCCATAAATTCGTTCAGTATACTCCCCGAAGTCGGCTACCAACCTGCTGTGTCTGAGAAGGATGGCTTCGTCCGGATCCCACACGTTTTCAAATACCAATTTATTGCGACGAAACCATATGAACCAAGTGAGGAACAAGCATTTCTGGAACACCTCAGCCGAGAGATTTTTAGCCCAACCTAGAAGCACCTCACCAAAGGAGTCTGATGAAGTGAAAGGGAGAGCGTCATGGCAGCCACTCCTCCTCCATAATTGAAGTGATTTCGGACATAAGATCACAGCATGGATGGTTGTTTCGGGCATCGACTCACAGCAGGGGCATTGAGAGACATCTAAAAGATGTTTGTGAACCAGGAGGCTACGAGTGGGAAGAGTATTTGAACAGCACCTCCAAAGAAAGGGGTGGACCTTTGGTGATCTTTGCCTTCCATAATTCGACCCAGAAGTTCTCAAAGTGATCCAAATCGAGAGATTTGCCCAAAATGTAGGCTGATTTCACTGTGTAACACCCATCTTTCGACCATGCCCAGGTAAGGGTGTCATTGGGCAATTGCTCACTGATTGGGATGGCTAAAATCGCTGATTTGTCTCGGTCATTGAAGATGCTCTCGATCTTAGGTAGGTCCCAGGTGCATTGCTCTTTGTCAATAAGCTCCTCAACTGTCGAGCAAAGGTCCCTCCTACTATCCGTAGTAACAAATCGGCTCTCATCATCAATAAGCCAAGGATCCGACCAAACGTTAATGGTACGCCCATCTCCCACTCTCCAAAGCAAGCCTTCTTTCACAAGGGCCTTGGCGCTCCATAGACTTTGCCAAGGGTAGCTCGAAACAGGGCCTAAAGCAGCCTAAAAAATGGAAGTACTTGGATAGTATTTTGCTTTGAGTACCCTACTAACGAGAGAGTTTTCATTTGTTGCTAAACGCCACAGCTGTTTACCATGTAGAGCTATATTAAAGACCCCCAAATCTCTAAATCCCATTCCCCCAAGGAACTTAGGTTGACATAAAGACTCCAAACTTTTCCAATGCATCTTTCTACCCTTCTCATTTGTCCCCCACCAAAATCGGGCCATCATAGCGTGAATATCTTAGATGAGAGTATTCAGAAATCTATAGACACCCATTAAATGCGTCGGAATGGCTTGGACTATAGACTTGAGGAGAACCTCCTTGCCGGCTCTTGATAAAAGTTTCTCCTTCCATCCTTGGACCTTCTTCCAAATTTGGTCTTTCACGAAGGCAAAAACCGCTTTCTTGGATCTCCCCACCACCGTCGGCAAACCAAGATAGTTGGTGTGACTATCCACCATTTCCATCCCAAGAATGGAGCTAAAAGTGATTTTGGACGATAGAAGAACTCCTTTGCTAAAAGACACCTCCGACTTCTCCAAATAATTTTTTGCCCGGATGTTGCTTCATATTTGTTGAGTATGTCAACAATGATAGAACATTCCTGTCGAGTGGCTCTAGTAAACAAAGGCTATTGTCTGCAAAGAACAAATGTGTAATTTTCGGACCGTTTCTACTAGCCCGAGCTCCATGAATCAATCTCTTCTCTGAAGCTGCCTGTAACATTCTTGATAAAACATCAGCAACTAGAATGAAAAGATAAGGGGATATAGGATCACCTTGCTTAAGACCTCTGGTCGGAATGAGGGGGTCCGAAGGGACTCCATTGATGAGGAACGAGTATCTCACTGTGGAAACAAAAGACATTATCATGTCCACCCAGGCTCCTGCAAACCCAAGCTTAGTCAGAAGGCGTCTCAGAAAGTCCCACTCAACCCTATCATACGCCTTACTCATGTCCAACTTCATTGCAATCGCCCCACGTCTACCCTTCGATCTTTTCTTCATGGTGTGGAATAATTCAAGGGCAATTAGAGCATTGTCAGTTATCAGACGTTTAGGAACAAATGCACTCTAATTTTCTGTGATCATGGAATGAAGATGGGGTTTTAGTCTGTTGGCCACTGATTTTGAGGCCAACTTATAGAGAACATTACAAAGAGCGTTCGGTCGGAACTGTGAGATGCATGTAGGCTTTTGAACCTTCGGGATGAGGGCTACGTTGGTGCGGTTTATGTACTCCATGGGGCTCTACCCGAAATGATATCATTCACAAATGAAGTCACGTCATCCCCTACAATGTGCCAAAATTTCTGATAGAATATCGCGTGTAGCCCGTCCGGACCCGGGGCCTTGCAAGGACTCATCTGAGAAAGAGCCGTGTGGACTTCATCTTTGAGATAAGGACGACAGAGGGACAATTTCATACTCTCTGTCACTTTAACAGAACACTCTCTAACACATCATCCATCAAGGCCTCGTCTATCTTCCCTCTGGCGAACAAGGACCTGTAAAAATCCAGAACTATTTTTCAATATGAGTCTTCCCTGAGCACCATTTTCCTTTGCTATTGTTGAGACCCTAAATGAAATTCTTGCTTCGTCTCTGAGCAGCCTTGTGGTGGAAGTATTTTGCGTTACGATCCCCATCCTTAATTTCAGATACCTTAGATCTCAGAAACCAATACGCCTCGTTTTTGTCATGAAGATCATCAAGCAAGCCTTCTAATTTATGGCATGCGTCAAAGCTGGCCTGGAAACTTGCCTTTTTCTGAGCTTCCTTCAAAGCCTCTTCCGCTTCTTCTATCTTCCCACCAAGATTCTCAAAAGCGTCTTTGCTCCATCTGGTAAGATCGTTAGCTATATTCAGCAATTTGTTAGGCATATTAAGATGGCTGGAATTACTCCACGTGGTCTTTATCACGTCTTCAATACCTTCGGCCAACAACCAACAAGTCTCAAAATGGAATCTCCTCTTTTGTTTCTCCCTTTTCTTGCGCACACCAGCCTCCGTGTCCAACATAATCCCCACATGATCCGATCGAAACTTTGTTAAGTTAAAGACTCGGGCTTGGTCAAACCATGAACACCACCGAGAGCATGCCACATATCTATCCACCCTCTCCCTAACCACGCCTTGCTGCTTGTTACCACGTTCCCAAGTCACCCACGAACCATCGTAGCCTAGGTCCCGCAAACTACAGACATAAAGGACTTCTCTGAAAGCATCCATGTCTCGTTGATCACGCAAAGCACCTCCTACCTTCTCATCAGCACTAAGAATCTCATTAAAATCACCTCCAAAAAGCGTAGGATGAGGGGAGCTCTGATAGAGATCACGCATAAGAGTCCATGTGTTCTTCTTGTGAGCCTATCCACCCACCCATACACCCCTATAAACCTCCATATTCGGCCTCCAACCTCAGAAATGTCTCCGCAAAGGTGGTGATCAGAGTAAGAGACCAAAGAGAATTAGACATTGTCCCTCCAAAACACACAAAGACCACCTGACTTTCCCCTGCTATCTACACCAAAAGACAAAGAAAAACCAAACTTATTTTTTAAATTTTCTGAATTTTTTCCACTAATCATAGTTTCACACAAAAAAATTAAATTCGGGCTTAAACTACCACTCCAATGACGGAGGGCTCGAATTGTACGAGAGTTGCCCGCCCCTCGGCAATTCCAACATATAATTTTCATTTCTCTTCGGGGGTTTGGATCATTCCAACACCCCCTACTTGATTCACCCCGTCTCTGGCTCGAAAAACTGATGATAATTTTTATTTCTTTGTACTATGCTGGGTGCCTAGTCCCGAAACCTCAAAGGGGGAAGTCTCTAGGCTCCTCTTCTTTGACGTCAACCTCTCAAAAAAACCACCCTTACACTTCCTGCTATCATCATTCCTAGCTATTCCCTGTTCTTTAATAGGAACGTTCTCACTATAATGTGCTTGAAGGAGGTCATGTTCCATCTCATAAAAAACAACATTAACACTTGAACATGGAATTTTACCTTGGGTATCTAAAACTTGCCCTGCAGCCTGTTCTTCAAACCTGGGAGCAGGTGCGTTTTCTTCAACCAGGCTTCTAATGCGCAATACTGTTTTCGAAGTCTTGGGATCAACTACTCTAACCAGCCTAGCCTCCTTCTCCTTCGGGGAAGAAAAATGCAATTTACGTGCAGCCCCTGGAGGGCCAACCTTCACAGCATCAGGATCATTGTACGACGGAATACGACACTTCATCATCGACATTAACCCCTCCTTCCACCTCTTTTCATTTGCAATCTCCTATTCTGATTTCTGAATAGGTCTCCTAGGCGAAGTAGGGAGCCAGGGTCCGTATTCATAGACGATGTCATCCCCCTCCCCCCTTATCTCATCCTTAAAACTACAAGTACCTTCTGTATGGTCCAGCCTCCCACAAAAGAAACAAAAATCCTCCAGCCTTTCATATTTTAAAGAGATCCACTTCGATGCCGATGCACCAACTACTAGGAATAAACCCCGTCGTAACGGTCTATCAATATCGATCATCACCTTCATCCGCATAAATTCCCCTATTCCTAAGGGCTCAGTTTCGTCAATCTCCAAGAATATACCTAAGAAGTCCCCAATCTCAGTTAGATTCCTTCTGTTACGCTTACTAAAAGGAACATCTAGGAGTCTCACCCACATAGGGACGTACTGAAAAACTACTTCCGATGGTTGCTCTTCACCATCGATATCCTTCAGCAGAAGAAGTTTGCCATCGAAGAACCACGGACTACCATCAATGAGCTTCTCCTTATCCACATCGTTGAAAAACTGGAAAACAAAGAGATTTGACTCCACCATTTTGATCACAACATTGTTATGCAGTTTCCAGACCGATGTTAACGTGCGTTTCATTGCCTCCACATTGAAATGTTTGGATGTGAGCAGTTTCCCTACTAACGATAGAGCAATTTGATTTTTTGTGCCTTCATCCTCCGATGCTATCAACCGTTCTCCAATTACCTTCGATTCCTCTTCCGTCAGTTTTATTTTTTCGAAATCATTGAGCAACTTGTCTGCCATGGGATCAATCTTGGGAAATTGATTAAAATTCTTCAAGGATTCGTAGAATCAGGGAAGAAATTGGGCAATTTCGCTCGAAAGTTTATTAACCCTAGACGAGGGACTACCAACCCTAGACGAGGGACTACTTAATTTTTTGACTTCAAAGTGATAAAACTGCTTAGCTTAGATTTAATTATGTGTGAGTAGTTTTATTTCTAGGGTTATGGGGATCCATAAATAATATGAAGGGATAAATTATTATTGTTGGTTATTAATGCTTGATTGATTTCCTATTGATTGATTTAATGCTATGCAATTATATTTGGCCAGGTTTAATTGTATGAATTATGCAATATTAATTCGAGATTCGAGAGATGAGAATTGATATTTAGGCTTGATTTCAATAGGCAGGTTAATTTATAAATGGTTAAGTCAAGATTCGAGAGATGCGATTTAATACCGGTAGATTAATTATGTGATTATAATACGCAGTGAAAGCCCTTTTATGATCTGATTAATCTATGCATTGATGATTGATTGTTGTGTTTTACCCTGGAATATTATTTATTGGTGAACCTATACTATAGGCCTTTTCTTATTGATTTCCTCCCCTATTTAATTTGCTTAGTTTAATTATTAGTTTAATTCTCACCAAAACAATTTGGTTACTTTATAATTTAGATTATATTAATTAATTAGGAAATAGATTGACCTGTTTTTTCTGTGGACTCGACCCTACTTCCCCATATTTATTAGTTAGTGTTTTTAGGAATTACTTTTGATTAGGTGATACGATTTTAGCCTGTCAAATTTTGGCGCCCTTGCCAGGGAAACAATTTTATTTTTATTTCTGATTATTTTTGTAGTCTAGATTATTTTCTTTCGTTTCAGAGAACGCAAGTTTTTTGGGGCGATTACTCATACTTGTTTGTTTAGTTCTATGTTTATGCCCAGGAATTCTAGATCACGTTGCATTCCATTTGACATTGAAATCAAACGTTCTTTTCATAGACGAAAGAACCTTTTTAGACAGGTACGAGCTACTATAATTCCGATGGTATTATACCTTTAAAACCCCCATTTGATTTTAGTGACGCAGAAGTTTCTTCAGTTGAAGAATCAGAGATGACGGCCCAACCACCTCGCAAGCTCAGCGATTATTCGCAGTCGTCTCTTACAGATTTTCCACATCTTACTCCTACACCCAATCTTGAGGGAGTATAGTTCGAGATTAAACCTCGATTTATTACCATGATCGAGAGGAAGCAATTCAGCGGAGCTAAGGGTGAAGATCCAAATCTTCATATTTTGGATTTCTGCCAATATTACAACACTATTAGGCAAGCTGGGGTCACGCAGGGCCAAATCAGGGAGATTCCGTTTCCCTTTTCTTTATGTGGTAAAGCTAAATTGTGGTACAATGGATTGAATAGAAATGTCCTTGGTAATACCAACTGGAATACTCTTGCTTTGAATTTCTATAATAAATATTACCCTGCAGAGAAGACAACTTTATTAAGGAGTTCAATTCAAAAAATTTCCTAAGAAGTTGATAATAGTCTATATGATACTTGGGAAAGATTTAAGGATTTGCAAAGAGAACGCCCTCATCATGGTTTAGCGTAGTGGCAGATAATCCAAGCCTTCTACAAGGATATTCATCTAGATCAATTCTTGACTCAGCAGCAAATGGAAGATTTATGAATCTTCAAGTAGATCTAGCAGAAACATTGATTGAAGAGATGGAAATTCATAATTCCCAATACGGGAATCCAAGAGGTTATGCAAACAAGGGAAAACATAATGTCGATTCCGTATCCTTTGTGCAGGCTCAATTAACCTCTATATCCCAAAAATTAGATAATATTAATGCTGCTATTCCTGCTCCTATAGCTAATGTTTCTGTTGTCAATAATACTAACGATGCTTTTTGTGAAAAATGTGGAATCGTAGGTCATTGGGCATAAGATTGTAGTAGTTCCATGGAGCAAGTTAACGCCTTCCAAACCTATAAGCAAAATAACACATAATCCAACACATATAATCTTGGTCTCCGAAACCATCCATATCTTTCCTACCGGGGTACCAATGTTCAAAACCCTCCACCTCCACAACACCAAGAATCACAATAACCACAACAAAAATATTATCAACCACCTAACCAAAGGACCCCCAATACAAACTCCACCTCCATCTACTGACCCTGCCTTGTTAGAAACTAAAATTATGTTAGCTAGTATGCAAAAGCACATGCAGAGTAGGTTTGCACAAATTGATTCAATCTTAGCTCATAATAAAATCATGGATAATCAAATTGCGCAACTTTCCTCTACTCTATAAAGTCGCCAACAGGGAGCCCTACCATCGCAACTAGTATTACCAACAGGGGATCATGCAAGTGCAATTACTCTGAGGAGTGATTCACACTATGATGGGCCTCCTATGCCCAAGGATGATGAACCTGTTTTAACAAAAATTGCTAACTCTTTTTCTGTTATACCAAATGATTTTGTTACTAACCTAGCAGGGCTCTAGGATAAAGCTAACACCTCTGATAATACATTGCAGGGTACAACTCAAGATAAGAGTGGAGATGTACAAAAACCAGTTATCAAACTACCATTCCCTAATACACAATTGAAGACTAAGTTGGATAAGCAGTTTGGTAAGTTTCTGGAGGTTGTGATGAAGAACTTGCAGGTAACAATTCCTTTTACAGAGTTAATTACACAAGTTCCTACATATGCTAAATTTATGAAAGATATTTTGACTAGGAAGAGAGCCTTTAATGAGATAGAGACTGTAGTTTTTACAGAGGAATGTAGTGCTTTATTGCAAAATAATTCTCCATCCAAATTAAAGGATCCTGGTAGTTTTTCTATACCTTGTCATATTGGTAATGTCTTTATTGATAAAGCATTATGTGATTTGGGTGCCAGTGTTAGTGTTATGCCATCGTTTGTGTGTTCAAAGCTTAATATGTGTGATTTAAAAGTTACTAACATTACTTTGCAAATGGCAGACCATTCTGTTAATAACCCTTCAGGTATTTTAGAGGATGTCCCTGTTAGAGTTGGTAAATTCTATATCCCTGTTGATTTTGACATGCTTGAGGATACACAAATTCCAATAGTATTAGGAAGACCTTTCCTCCACACTGCAGGAGCCATTATTGATGTAAAAAATGGAAAACTAACCCTTTCTGTCGGAGATGATAATATCACTTTTAATTTAGGGAAGGTTTTGAAGGCTCCTATGTTAGAGGAAAATTGTTGTAGTATTGATGTGATTGATGTTATTTGTGAAGATAGCTTATTACAGATCCTTGCAAGGGATCCCTTGGAGGAAGTACTTTGTGGTGATTTTACTACAAGTGACGCTGGTATTTGGAGCAGTGAGGTGGATGCTATAGAGGAAGCTCTTGCACTTGAAGAACTTGACCCTAAGGAGAGCAAAAAGGTAGTAAAGTTAGTTCAGGAATCAAAACCTGTAGAGGTTAAGAAAACTAAATTAAAACCTCTCCCTCTCATTTAAAATATGTATTTCTTGATGAGCAGTAATTACACCTAGTAATTATTAGTATAGCACTTGATGACCCACAAATTTCCCAACTTCTTAAGGTTCTTCGAACCTACAAAAAGGCAATTGGGTACAATATTGATGATCTCAAGGGTATTATCCCTGATTTTTGTATGCACAGGATACACTTAGAGGACAATCACAAGTCATGTATTCAACCCTAGAGAAGGTTGAATCCTAACATGAAGGAAGTAGTTAAGAAAGAGGTTATGAAATTACTTGATGCAGGTATCATATATCCTATTTCTGACTCAAAGTGGGTGAGTCCTGTACAGGTAGTTCCTAAAAAGGGTGGGATGACTGTGATTAAAAACGATAAAAATGAATTGATTCCCACTAGAACTGTGACAAGATGGCGTATGTGTATTGATTACCGTAGATCAGATATTGCCACCAAGAAAGATCACTTCCCTCTCCCTTTTGTTGATCAAATGTTAGAAAGGTTAGCGAATCATAAATTCTTTTGCTATTTAGATGGGTACTCAAGATTTTTCCAAATTCCGATTCACCCTGAAGATCAGGAAAAGACCTTACTTGCCCCATGGTAATTTTGCATATCGCAGGATGCCCTTTGGTCTATGTAATGCCCCCGCTACCTTTCAACGTTGCATGATGAGTATCTTTTCTGAGTTCATAGAGTCTATCATGGAAGTCTTTATGGATGATTTTAGTGTGTATGGGTCTACATTTGATGCTTGTCTAGATAATCTCACTAAAATTTTTAAAAAATGTGAAGAATGCAATGTGGTCCTCAATTGGGAAAAATGTCACTTTATGGTGACAGAAGGAGTAGCTCTTGGTCATATTGTATCTGATATGGGTATAAAGTAGATAAAGCTAAGGTTTCTGTGATTGAGCAATTACCTCCACTAGTTAATGTTAAGGGGGTTAGAAGTTTCTTAGGTCATGCGGGGTTCTATCGTCGTTTTATCAAAGATTTTTCTAAAATTGCTAAACTATGACTCAGCTTTTACTCAAGGATGCCCCATTTGATTTTACTAATGAGTGTCTTGAGGCTTTCACAAGATTAAGCAGGCTTTGATATTGGCACCTATCATATGTGCTCCAGATTGGAATCTTCCTTTCGAGATTATGTGTGATGCTAGTGATTTTGCAGTAGGGGCCGTGTTAGGATAGAGAAAGAACAAAGTTTTGCATGCTATGCAAGTAAAACTTTGGATGAAGCCCAAGTCAATTATGCCACCACGGAGAAGGAGTTTCTTGATGTGATATATGCTTTAGAAAAATTTAGATCATATCTAGTTGGTTCTAAAATTATTGTTTTTATTGATCATGCAGCCCTGAATTATCTAATAGCCAAGGCGGAATCTAAGCTTAGGCTCCTCCGTTGGGTTCTCTTGCTCCAAGATTTCGATGTGGAAATTAAGGACAAAAAGGGAGCAGAGAATGTTGTTGCAGATCACTTGTCAAGGATCAGGTATGATGAGGGTAAGGATACTCTTCCTATAGATGATTCCTTCCCTGATGACCACTTGTTTACAGTTGTAGAGCAACACCCTTGGTATGCAGATTATGCTAATTATTTGGCGGGTGATACTCTACCTCCTGATATGTCCTACCAACAGAAAAAGAGGTTCATGTATGATGTAAAACATTATTTTTAGGATGATCATTTTTTGTTTCGTGAGTGTGCAGATGGATTATTTCGCAGGTGTGTTCCCGAATGGGAAGTCCATAGTGTACTTACAAGATGGCACGAATCACCATATGGTGGCACTACTAGAAAATAGCTAATCAACGAAGAAAAAAATCCCTCGAAATATCTTGAAATTTCGTCGGAACTGTCGGTTTCCGACGGAATTCCTTTGGAATACGCTGTCTCAAAACATTTTGTAGGTATTTCGCTATATTCCGACGGAAATTTTGTCGTAACGGTCAGTTCCGACGGAATTTTCGACGGAATTGGGGTTATCGGAGTCCGGTTTGACTCAATGGGGAATTTCGTCGCAAGGTTCCGATGGAACTGTTTCCGTCGTTACGCATTGCCTTCCGACGGAATATTCCGTCAGAATTTGACGGAATATTCCGTCGGAAACAGATTTTTAGAAATTAGAAAAAAAAAAAAGTCGTGCGACCACCGGCACGACGTATCACCAACCAGAACACCACCACCACCACGGAAAACTAACCCAAATCATATTCACCAACCACAACCTACTACCTACCCACCCACCAGTCGTAGCCACCCACCTCCAACCACTTAGCCAAATTCACCAACCACAACCTACCCAATTGATGAACCCAGTGATTTGGGGATTAAGTCCCTCTGCCGTAACATTGATGGTGATGAACCATCGTCCATTCAAGATATAGCGTACGAATTTGTTGGAAAATTGAAAATAGGAGATTATTTTCAAAATATGTTGATTGGAGTTGAATCCCCCTTTAAACCTATTACCAATCGGACTATTGCTTGGGAATGGCAGGTACTTTTTTTTTGTTTTAACAAATATCTTTATATTAAGGATATTTTGTTAATTAATATCTCAAAAATAGAGGCTTTGTGAATTACTAACCTTAAGAAAAAAAGTTTTTAATTAGTACCCTAAAACCGATTAATTTAAGTGATTGCTACTCTTTTCTCTAATCAGCCCCTAAACGTGATTTAAGCTTTTAATGACATCATTATCCGGCTAATTTATAATTAGTTACTTTTGAACTTTAATTAACTAATTAAACCCTAAATTCACCTGCACACCACCATTGCACCACCACCGCCCACCATCCACCCACAATCGCCAGCCCCCTCCGATAAGCCACCCTCCCCCTGCTGGCGCCCAAAGCGTCGCCCAACGCCGGTGACTCCAATCCCCTCCCTTTCCTCCACCTACGCAACCCACTTCCCTCCCTTATCCCCTTCTCGCTGCCCCAACCCCCACCTTGAAATCATAAAACAACCCTCCCTCCCTATCCCCCCACCAGAATCGGGCCCTCTCCCCTTCCCCCACCCTGAATCAATCCCCCTCCCCTTCCCCCACCAAAACAGTCACCCCTAACCCTTAAACACCAGTCCAACACCACCATAAATGAAACCCTATATCCCCTTTAGGGTGGTTTCGGGCTGGTGGTTTAGGGTTAGAGGTGCTGATTTTTGGTGCTGGAGAGTGGGGCGACTTGTTCGAAAGGAGGAGCAACAGCAGTAGTAGCGGCGCATTTTGGTGGTGTTGCGAGAGGTTAAAGGTGAGTAATGGTGGTGCGGTGGGAAGAGTTGTCGTGGGTGGGGGAAAGCATGTGTGCCTGTGGGAATGCTGGTTGTTTGTTCGATTGGGCTGTCGGCTTCCATTAATGGTGGTGGTACGGGGCTGTTGGTGGAGCGCGGCTTCTTGTGGTTAGGGATGAGCAAAAATTCCGGTATTCGAAATTGGAACTGGTTAGGAACCAGCGGGTCCAAAACTGAAATTGGGTCCGGTGGTTCCAATTCCGGATAATAATTTAAGGACCCGTTTGCAATTCCAATTCTCAAATTTTTGAAATTGGAACTGGTTGGTTATCCGGTTACCCAACATATATCGTACAAAATATATTAAAAAAAATAAAAATATGTTGAATGTAACTAATTAGTAAAATAAAAAAACATTAATACTTAATAAAATTAAAATAGGTTATTGTATATAAAAATATAAGTATAAAACGCTAAAAGTTAAAATAAACCGAAAAAATTATTATGATTTGTATTATATTTTAACACTTATATATATAAGTGGGTACCCGGAACCGGAACCGGGACCCGGTGGAACCAATTCCAATTCCTAAATTTTAGGAATTGGTTATACCGGTTCCTATTCCGGTTCCAAATTTTAGGACCCGGTCTCAACCAATTTCTAGGGCGGATCCTAAAATTTTGACCGGGTACCCGGTTTGCCCACCTCTACTTGTGGTGGTGCTGCCGGTGGGAGCAGGGATGGGGTTAGAGGGCTGTCGAAGATGGTGCAGTGGTGGTTTAGAGGTGGTGTTAGGGTTTATTAAATTAATCATGGATTAAAAACAACTAATTATAAATTAGTTGGATAATAATGTCATTAAGAGCTTTTTCTCACCTAATTAGCGACTGATTAGGGAAAAGGGTAGCAATCACTTGAATTAATCGATTTTAGGGGTAATAATTATAAACCCTTTTTTTCAGGGGTAGTAATTCACAAAGCCTTTGTTTTTGAGGTAGTAATTAACAAAATATTCTTATATTAACTTATAATATAATGCTTTGACGCAGCGTTGTTCTGAGCTAATCTTCCCCATCGGATGTGAAAATGATACAATGCTTCCGGCTCGACCGTTCAATTTTGTCAAATTCAAAGAATCATGTCGGTCAAGGTTTGGAATTTCGCCGAATCCACATACTCCCATTAGCTTTTTCAAGAGTAAGGTATATTTTTTGTAATTTAGTACTTAATCTTGATTTCATATCACAATTACTTAATTTCAAAACCTTTCTATTCCAATATAGTGTTATTTGATTTATATTAACTTTTAAATTCTTGTTCAGAATCTTGTTGAGTCTCTCACGAGATTTGGAGGAAACATCATCTTCTCCAATGGGTTGAGAGATCCTTTCTCTAGTGGAGGGTAAGAAAACATCACCTATTCATCATTATTTTTAATTAAATTCATAATTAGCATATTAATAACTTTAAATCTTTACTTTGTACAGAATTTTGGATGATCTATCTGATACCATCGTTGTACTTACAACGACAAAAGGTATGTAGCATTATGTAAGTTTTTAATTTGATTGATTTTTTTTTAATTAAACCATTGTGTATTAACATTTTCCCAAATTTTTTTTAGGTACTAGTTGTCTTGATTTGACCACCCCAAACATCAATTATGTTGATACAAAATGGTTGATAGAGCAAAGGGAAGCAGAAATCAAGATTTTCCGACAATGGATCGACCACTTCCACCATATTAGTGGATCATACACTACAGGTTGTAGTTTGGTTATTGTTACTTGGGTACAAATCTTAGTATTTCTATTTATCTACCTAGATTAGTTTTAATTTGTAATAGTCGGGTAAGAAGCTTTTAATAAATCAATCAATAACTATATAATAAAAGACACACCAATAATGATACATGTCATCTCTTGGTATGTCTTTATTTTTTAAATTTTTTTTTTTTTTACAAAATTAGTGATACAAATGTTATAGAAATATCATGATTAGTTTTAATTTGTAATAGTCAGGTAAGAAGCTTTTAATAAATCAATCAATAACTATATAATAAAAAACACACCAATAATGATACATGTCATCTTCTAGTATGTCTTTATTTTTTTAATTTTTTTTTTCACGTAATTAGTGATACAAATGTTATAGAAATATCATGATTAGTTTAATTTTCTAAAAATATACTTCTGATTCCTTAAGAATGGTATGAGATTATGAGTCCCATATGACATCTTTTTACAATGTTTTTTTGTCAAGTTATCTGAGTATATAATTAGGGGTGAGCAAACCGAATACCCGGTCAAAATTTTAGGATCCGGACCCGGAATTGGTTGGTACCGGTTCCTAAAATTTGGAACCGAAATTGGAACCGATACAACCGGGTCCTAAAATTTAGGAATTGGAATTGGTTCCAGCAGGTACCGATTCCGATTTCGAGTACCCACTTATATATATAAGTTTTGAAATATAATAAAAATCATAATATTTTTTTTGGTTTATTTTTACTTTTAGCGTTTAATACTTATATTTTTATATACATTAAACTATTTTAATTATATTAAATATTAATATTTTTTATTTTACTGATTAGTTACGTTCAACATATTTTTGTTTTTTTTAAATATATTTTGTACAATATATGTTGGGTAACCGGTATAGTAGAGCAAAAAGAAAAATCTAGAAGTTTCAGGATTTTGTTTGATAGTGGGTTGAGAGTTTTATAAGCAATTAGGCTTAGAAATTAGAATGAGTTGTACATAACTCTTTAGTTTCTTAAAAACACAAACAATCCACATACTGTATCATATACAACCGTGTGCCCAGTGGGTACCGGGTCCAAAATTTTAGGTTTTGGAACCGGAACCGGTTACAACCGGGTCCGAGATTTTGAACCCGGTCCCGAAACCGATGAGACCAGTTCTGGGTCCGAACCCGACAGGTCCTAACCGGTTCCAGATCCGGTACCAGGTACCTTGGATCTTTGCTCACCCCTATATATATTCTATGTATATACAATATTATACTTCATAATCTATGTATATACAATATTATACTTTGTAATAACTTATAAGTAATTACCATACAATGCACAGGACCTAAATTAGTTGTAAATATTTAGTCCAATTTACACTCTAACTTTTTCTATAATTTTATCTACCTAGACTTCGTATAACGGTTTTTATCCATTACTGTGTAATGAAAAATACTCCTATATTACTTTGTATTGGAAAAATACGCTTTACATTTAAGTTCCGTAATATCAAATTAAAATATCTTAGTCGTAATATTCCAAATTATTTCTATCTTTCCATACATCTGCCAAATTATCCAATGATTTTGTTGCATCGACTCAATATATTTACGTATATTTCAACTTAATGAAAAATTATTCTGGCTTTAACTATTTAGTAATTAATTGCTTCAAAAATATTATTTAGTAATTAACTCACATGCATAATACATTAATACCATAAACAGTACGTAGGATGGAGTAGAATAAAGACAATATGAAAGAGAGTAGGAAAAACAGAAAGAAATTGTAAATCATAACTTGATGATCTTTATTTGATTCATAAATTAAATTTCAATGTTTTTAGTCTAAGTTTAATGTGGAAAGCAACAACACTGTCTACTAAAACAGTGTCCGCCATTAGGGCAGCCACTACAAATACTATTGCAATCTTCCTGAAAACAAGTTTGATCCATGCCTACGCATATTGTTGGGCACGTTTGTTCCACCCCACTCGTTATTGTATTGATCAATGGAGAAACTTCTCTGCTCATGCCACCTGTTATATAAATATAATAATTTATTTGTCACAATTAACAAAAAAACATAAAAAGCTAAGTTTACATAAATGACTAATTAATAACATGTGATTTTATTATAAATACATTAATACCATATTTATAAAGAGTATCTATTTAGAAAATTAATTTAGTGTTTATATATATCATAAACATATGTATTAATAATATACTATCTCCGATTCTTATTACTCGCAATAAAGGGGTATTATTTGTAAAATATAAAATATCTTTTATACGAGTAATGCGAACTGAAGATAGTACATAATTAATTTGCTGCGATCATATGGTCTAGTTATGTTTAGGTAAGAAACATATAAATTTAATGTCAAAAAAAAAAATATATGCCTATCTAAAGAATAGACAATTGAACTCACCGTAAGACATACACACCAAAACTATCACCAGAAACAAGGTAACAAAGGCTGACTTTTCGGCCATATTGAAAAAAATAAGCTCGTTAATTAAGCAAAATGTAGTCACAATATTTGGTTAATTGAGGGGGTTAGGGAAAAAATGAAAAAAAAAAATTTTGCTTTGTGATGGAATTGTTTAAGACTTTAGGTGCTTATATAATTGAGCGAGCAATGCATATTTGTAATGTTTTTTTTTCTTTCTATATATAATAAAGATCTTAAGAAAATTACAGTAATCTAATATATATAAATAAAGTAGGCATTTTTGGAGAGCATTCGGAGCGCCACGTAAGAAATATACTTATTTCGACCAATAAGAAGAAAGATTTGTATTTTATTTTTGAATTAAAAAATTATGTTGCCACCTAGATAAAAGTAACGAATTAGATTTGATACATCTAAATTTTTAATGTCACGTAGATTATAATCCACAAATCAAATTATTTTAATGAAAAAAAATGAAGTAAAAATATAGGAAAAGATAAATTTAATAATTCAATACTACGAGTATAAGAAATCAAAAAAAAAATATACTAAGAAATATTTAAATGATAAACGCTTATAATAAAGTTTGATACCTATCATTATAAGATAAATTTTGATAGTACTTATGATAAGAAATACAAATTATTCGTTAATTATAATTAAATTAAATTTTGTGATACCTATTATTATAAATTGACACATCATACGACACAAACAAAATTTCGTATTAATAAAAATCCCTATCAAGCGAATTTTGTGTTAGTAATTTTGTGCTAATTTTTGGTCATCAATGGCCGGGTAATTTTTAGCTTAATTTTTAAAATCCTATGTTTAAATTAGTATTTCTAATATTACTTACATTGTATTAATTTGGGATACTCAATGATTATATGTTTATGTTTTATTTACTAAATGTTTTTTTACATTCAGATCTAACACATCATACGACACAAATAAAATTTCGTATCAATACAAAACCCCATCAAGCGAATTTTGTGTTAGTAATTTTGTGTTAGTTTTAGGTCATCAATGTCCGGGTAATTTTCAAAATCTTATGTTTAAATTTATATTTGTAATTATTAGTTACATTGTATTTATTTAGGATATTTAACGATTATTAGATGTTGTATACTTAATATATGGATGGCTTTGGTAATTTTGGAGATGATGAAAAAATTCCAATGCATAGATTTGATTTTATATCGCAACAATTTTTCATTTTTGGTAAATTTATTGATTTAGTTTATATAAAAGTAAAGATTTAATTTATATCAATTTCAGTTTGGTTAACATTTCACGGTTCAATTTATCCATTGATATAGTAGGTTGGTTGTGGACGAGGTTGGTGATTCTATCGAAATAAAAGATATGGTAAAACAATGAATAATGATTTAGGATTTATATTATTAAAAATTTATCATTTCACATTAAAGATTTAATATACGGAAAAAATATCATATTTATAATTTATTTATATTTAATAAATTCATTATAAATTATAGTAAAAAAATAAATATTAAACTTTTGTAAATTTGTCTGAAATTATTTAATACAATAAATCAAATAATTAAAAATCTTAGATAAAAAAACAGTGCATCGCACTGGCTTCTATCTAGTATCATATACTTCGTATTTTAAGACCAAATCAGATTTTATAACAAAATATTATATTTTCTACTTTAAGATGATATTTGATGATATGGAGTAATTTTTCCTTATAATTTGCTATGTGCAAAAGATATTGTTGGTTAAGGCTTCTATCAAGCAAATTACTTCGTAGGCCAAATCAGATTTTATAACAAAGTATTATATTTCCTATTTTAAGTTGATATTTGATATGGAGTAATTTTTCCTTATAATATGCTATGTGCAAAAGATATAGTTGGTTAAGGCTTCTATCAAGCAAATTACTCCGTAGTTTTTGATAAATATATATTCTCCAAATTTCCTTCCTTATGGGACAAATACTTCTTTCTAATTCTGAAGTTTAACGCATTTATTATTAATATGGTCAATATAAAATATTTATGTTCTTGATTTATAAGGATAATATATATATATATATATATATATATATATATATATATATATATAATTTAAAAAAAAAAAAAAACCTATGCATTTTTTTCTCTTCTCACTGTAGAAAAAAATATAAAAAAATAACCTTATACAAATGTTGTTCACATATTTTTAACCATTTTTTCAGTAATGTGCATATTAAAAAAGGAAAATGATATACATATCCCTTAGGGTTACATATAAGCATTAAATATACTCTAGAAAATTGTTTAAATTTAGAAAATCATGATAAAAATAAACTAGTTACACTAATTTACGCATATTTTGTCATGAATTTCTAATTTTATACAATTTTCAAAAGTGTATTTAATGTTTATATGTACGTAGCCCTAAGAGCTATGTATAACATTACCTTATAAAATAATAAAATGTGCAATAAGGCCCCATTCACTTCACCTTATTTTTGTTGAACTAAAATTATTTTTACTGAACTGAAATTATTTTTGTTGAACTTAAATTATTTTTACTGAACTGAAATTAATTTTACTGAACTGAAATTATTTTTGCTAAACTGAAATTATTTTTACTGATTTTCTATTATATTTCTTCTTTAAGTTTACTGAATTTTACTAACTGGAATTATTTTTACAGAACTGAAATTATTTTTTTCAAGGTGAAGTGAATAGGACCTAATATTTTTAAAATCTTGAAAATTCTATATTCTTAAGTACATGCACATTTATAATATGCTTGCTAAAGTATGCTTACATAAAATATTAACATTTGAGATTTTAGTTTATAAGAAAGACAGTGGCGGATTTAGGAATTTATGAGGGTACTAAATTAAGCTTAGTAAAAATAAAAAGTAATATATGAAGTATTATTATTTTTTGGAAACTATATTACGACAAGTATTAATTTATTTCACTATTATATTAGTCTTTGTGTATACTATGTTGAATAATTCCCCGACAAGAAGGAGTATAAATAAGGTCACTATAAAGTAGTGTATTAATGTGAAAAAAGAATTATCCTAAGATGAAAAAAACTAATAGCAAATGAAAACAAGACAAAACATCTAAATACTACAATATCTAAGAGACCAGATCTTGGCTTAAGTGGTATCTTTCATTTTAACAAAAAGTAGTGCGCACTTTGATAGTTTGATTTGGTGGGTTGGTTGTGTATATAAAGACCCTAAGA